TGCATGGTTTATCTAGCCCACTTCTCAGCCTCCTATTCACTCCCCGCTGCACTGGCCCACATTCTGCTGCCACAACTCGGGGCCAAGCTACAGCTGCTCTTGTCTTGCCTGCCTGCCACTCCCGGTATGGTTTCCATTCCATTGCGTATCTTGGTGCCGACAGGTGGAATGCGCTGCCTCCATCTTGTCGCCTGGCCGAGTCGCCTGCTTTGTTTCGCGCTCACACAAAGTCTCATTTAGGGTTCCCAGTAAAAAGGCAACATTGCCTGTTGGGAAATCCCTAACAAAATAAGAAAAAATAATAATAATAATAATAATAATACAGAGAAAAAGGGGAAAAACTGGGAGAAACAGACAGGTTGTCTACAGATGACACCCGGAGACAGCAAGTGTGGCAGAATATGCATGAGGGTCATACCTGCTCGACTTGTGGCGATGCCCACGAAGGCATGCCACGGCCGCCTTCACGAGAGCAAAGGACAGCTGGGCTCTGATCAAAGCCATTGCCACAGAGAAAGGCTCACCATTCTTCTCAGACTTGATGCCTGCAATGCGGCCAAAGAGAGTGGAGGCTGCCTTCCCTTGGCCACCAGTCGTACTGAACACCACGGGGATGAAGGAAGCGTGCTCAACGTTGAGAATGCGACTCTCATAACTCCTCCGTTTCTCCTCTTCGTGCTTTCTCAGGCTCATGACCTGAGAATCAACTTTATTTTTTACCATGGCCTAATCGAACTGTGCATCAACAATAACTAATTCTAGAATTGACGGAAATGCGTGTGGTCGAAAGCGCCCTGTATGTACCGGTATGTGTGACCGCTGCATCGTGTGTTCCGCGAAAGCGGCTGCGGTAGTTACGCTTTTTGCCTCCGCTACGGTACAAAACCGCATACAACTTACAAGCATCATTTAGAAAAGCGATCCTGTCAGCTTTTCTATTATTGTGTTCACATGGCGCTACCTAACGACACCGCTATTTAGACACGTTGTCTACGTAGCTACGTAAGTTTCTACGTAAGATGCTCGGTACCTGGTCCTGGACCAGGGAGCTGCTCCATGGCTCCTACCATCGCGCGGCCGGCTGGCCGCATGCGTGTGCATTTCAGACTTTTTGTTGCATTGCTGCCTTTTCCATGTTTTCGGATGTGCATGCACGAGGCTCGAGGAACTTCCTTCTTTGGAACTGCTTCTTGCATGAGCTGTTTCGGATATTTTGTCTCCTGGCCTGGCTTATTTCGTTTCGGCGCTGCTGAGACCTCCTTTCGCGGAATATCACTCAATGACAGGTGAGTTGACCAGTTCCCTTTGATTCATTTGCTTGTGTTGACTCTTTCATTTACGAAAAGTGTGCTGATTTTGGGCGTTTACTCGAGTCTGGGCTGTTTGATTTGTGAGTACCGCCGAGATTGCACTGCCCCAAATAAAGTTGCGTGCCGCCAAAGCAAAAATTACGATCTGCCATCTGTTTGTAGTACCTGCAAGAATGTGCTGTACATGTATCGTACTTTCTCTGTTGCTGTTTCAGTTGCCGTCATGTTGCTAAAGAAAGGTTCAGTGACTCATTTGTTTCATACGAGACGAGTCGGTGTGGCTTAGAATCTTTCGCTGTAGAAAAAATCTGTTCGTATGTCTATTGGAGAAATGTATTCACTGGTTATAAAATAGGTTAAGACAAACTCACAGAATAAATACCATCGGTCCCTTGGTGTTCGTCCTAAAGAGGTTTGACTGGATATCATTCATACTCACGGCAAAAGATGTGTACCATTTTATTATTATGGAGTGCCTTGTTTATCTCTCAGTTATTGACAGTACCTCCAGGGTACCCTGTAAGAAGGCCTTCGGCCTGCGGGATTGCCCTATCAAAAATTTGACAATTTGATAATAATGACCTCCAACCTCCAATGGCCTTGCCCCTTTTATCCTCAGGATCAGTGTAGTTGTTGGAACGAGGTACCGGACTCAACAATGTATTTGTTTACATTTTAATACATGTTTATTGTTCCTCCTTTGCTGTGTTATTTTAGAAAATCGTGGACTAACAGTTTGCAGTCATTGAACTACTTCCAAAAGTTGTATCGACATCAACAGGATTACGATTTCAGTGCAATATGACGCAGGATGACCTTATCACGATAACCCATGATTATAAACAATTACTGAAGTACTTCAAGTACATGTATAAACACAGAATCAACAAAAACATCTGCGACACGCAACTGGCTACATTTCTCAAGTAAATCTGAAATATCTGAAAGGCAAGACAATTTTATGACAGTCCTGAAATTCTGCAACAGCGACATGCACAGAATGACCTGCGTATAAAAAAAGTATCAAGTATCACCACCACTAACCACATGTTTCCCCAGCAGAAGTATAATGCTAGTGCTATTTTCTGCAAGAAAAGGCTTGCACTTCAATGCGTATAATACGGTATTGATATGATGTGAAGGCCATCATTTACATAAGGGCATTCCATTGATTGGTGACAGAAAAAACAAAAGAAATTTTAGCAATAAAAACTGCTTTATGGCAGCTTTCTAAAAAAAGTTATTGTGTTCTAGTCCTGGGTCCGGCATAGGCTATGGAAAATTTATATAATTGCTTCCAAACTGGCCTGGACTCCGTCTAAAAAGTAAGAAATTAACGAAATGTGAGTGCCGAAAATTAAAATTTCACACAAAACCTCACAATAATCACACACAGGATGAAAAGCTAGAAAACCTTTTCCCTTCGTGATCCTCTTTCCCATGCATGCATGTTGGTGCAGTACAAGTACAGTGTCAGACTAAATAAGTGTTGAAAGCAGTATTTGATTGTCAAGTGTTGTGAGTATTGTGAGGTTTTGTGTGAATTTTTAATTTTCGGCACTCACATTTCGTTAGTTTCTTACTTTTTAGACGGAGTCCAGGCCAGTTTGGAAGCAATTATATAAATTTTCTATAGCCTATGCCGGACCCAGGACTAGAACACAATAACTTTTTTTAGAAAGCTGCCATAAAGCAGTTTTTATTGCTATATGTTCTTTGAAGTGGGCATTGAAACATGCGCGGAAAGGGGAAAATCACATCAATGTTCAAAGCCATCCCGGAGCGGCTTTGAAGGCGGCTTTGAAAGAGGATTTCGGCTTTTAGTTTTCAGGCAAGGCGAAACGAGTGGTTTGGTGTGTCGAGTGCGCAGAGTTTTTGTTCTTTTTTGGAGAGGCCGGTACCATGCCTCGAGTTGTCCTTTCTGCCAAGGTGGAGCTACGGCTGATAGAACTATGGGGAAAATACCAGCGAGAAAAGTGGAACTATGATTAAAAGAGCTGTTGCCGAGAAGAGGATTGCAGATGAGCTGAATCTGTGCGCAAAGCAGCTATCCGGAGATGTTCAGGAAATGATATACACGGCCGCTATGGTTCACAACTCCAGCACACTCAGAGAAATACACCAGTTGTGGACGCGTTCCACCGAGATCATACTAGTGGACCAAGAAATAGTATTTTTGAAATATTGATCCAAGTGCCGCACGGTGCCAGTGCGCTCAGCTCATGCAGAAATCTAAATTCCCGCTCTTCGCCATGGGTCACGCGGGTCACTTTTAACGTGTTTGGCATGCACTGCATTTGACTGTGTGAATGCACAGGCGTTGCAAGTGACTTGTATAGTCATGTAAACGCGAATTTTTGTAGCGGGTGTGAATGCAGCCTTAAAAGCGGTGCAAACTTTTCATGTGTGACCGCGGCCTTAGTGGAGGCCGAACTGTGAAAAGGAGTAGCCTCAGTCAGGATGATTAAAACGCGACGCAGCTCAGCTCACCAGATCAAGGTGTGGGTCCTCTTCCGGTGGCGAAAGGCGGGCTCACGCCCCTACATGGCAACTTCCCATTGTCTAACCCCCAAGACAATTATGTAGCCGACTGGCCGAAATAAAAAATAAAAAACGCGAGCGGCTCAGGATGAATGACTACAATGTACTGTCGCGGACATGCATGGACATCCAGTCAGACCAGGGCCGGCGCCCTCAGCGCGTACAGAACGTCGTCGTTGCATGCAGCGCACATGTAATACGATACGCGATACGACCAGCAGCAGCGCGTAGTAATGCATGCCATGGCTGCATGGCCAGCGCTAGACGTGCGACCGGATTTCCATGTCCACGACAGTCATGCATGATGATGATGTGTTGTGTAGAGACTAGAGTGCTGCTGTGGATGCCAGCCTTTTTACGCCCTTTGACTTTGCCTTGGCTGTAGCTACTGCCTGTGAAAAAAGGATCTCATTTTCTGCCCTGCCTTGCTTCTGCTACGATTTATCCCGGCTGTTTACCACGTGACGTGTACGTGGGTGAACAAACAGGCCTGTTCTACATAATCTTTAGTACAGGCGACATCGCTCACTAGCACTGTTGCATGTGATGACACAGCTAGTCCGCCTCTGCTCTGGCGACACAGACAGTCGGCTTCATTTCGTAGTTGGTGTGGGAGCATCATGTCAGCAGAAAGGTCGGCCAGCAATGATAATCTGCCCTGCCTTGCTTCTACTACGATTTATCCCGGCTGTTTTACCACGTGACGTGTACGTGGGTGAACAAACAGGCCTGTTCTACATAATCTTTAGTACAGGCGACATCGTTCACTAGCACTGTTGCATGTGATGACACTTGAACAGCTAGTCCGCCTCTGCTCTGGCGACACAGACAGTCGGCTTCATTTCGTAGTTGTTGTGGGAGCATCATGTCACTTGTGAGCAGAGAGGTCGGCCCGCAATGATTATGTAGACCTACATATGGATGTACACGAGTAGCACTGTACTTTTGTAGTGTGGAGCAGGCAGTAGAATCTGATGTCATGTTCTACAGTCATGTACATAATCTACGCGTAAATCTACATCTTCTGACAGATCAGACAGATGAATGAAGCCACAGAGCTCTGGCCGCTGGAGCGTGCAGCGAACGTGTAGAGAAGATCTTGGACTGCTGCACCGTCCGTGCTTCAGTTGAATGCGGAATCGTTTTTTTTCTTGCTCGTTGCCGTCTGTGGGTGTTCTGGGCGGATGCGTGTTCTGCTTGCGGCCCTTCATATTGTTGTTTTCTGGGAGTTTGAGTGACGCTCCGTCGCAATCTGGTTGCGGAAGTGAAGCGCTTTCGTTCGTTACCTGCCCATCGGCAGGTGGCGTTTAGATTTGTGGGACTACCAATCGTCCGGGTCAACGTTACCAGAATAGCGGACGCCGGACAGGAACCACCCGGCCGTTATCGGGAGCAGGTGCTTCTCCCTGGCTTGAAGTCACGTAAGCATCTCCCATTCAGTCCCTATGTTTCACTGAAGGTGTGCGCTGAGTTCTTGTAGCACAGCAGCCCCAACCCGTAACGATTTATTGGAAAAGGCTTCTGCTGATGTACAGTACTCCGTGTCGTGTGCTCACATTTGTCCGCATGGTATTGAAGCGCAGCAACGGCAATTCAAACGCGAAGGAATTTTTTGGCTTCTGCAATATCCACTCACTCTCAATCCGTGTGCTTTACAAGCAGAGAAAATTACTAGTAGTCGATGAATAATTTCGTCAAATTCCAAAGAAGGGACTTCTTCCAATCGGAAACGGTGACCTTTCACCAGAAAAACAAAATTATTTGGAAAGTTTTTTTGAGCTGAAATTTTAGTGAAAAAGTTGTCAGCGCTTTCTAGGTTCTGCTCAGTGCCATAGCTTAGATGGTTAGTGCTATGCTCATGACAAGCAAGGTCCCAGGTTCCAGTCCTGTTGGGGTTTGCATTTTGTTCTCTTTTCAGGGCAGTCCTAATCCTTGACAGATCACTTTGCAGGGGCGCCACCAGGTTCTAAAGAAGTTGTACGACCGAAAGGAGGCGAAAAGAAAGAGGGGGTCTGGGGGACACGTCCCCCTTAAAAATCTTATTATCAGGAGCAGGTTTTGTCACTACAATTGTTGCTTCGCAAATCGCAATGTTTGTGACTTGATTGTCTTAGTCAGGCTGGCGGAATCACTGTTTTCTGTGTTCGAACATTGGTATGACCCTTCCCTCGCAATTGTTACGAAAGGCTTTGTGATTTTGGAGCTCTCTTCCGCACCAAACAAATTCTTCTCGTTTCGCACTATTTCGCCCAGAGTGAGTATCATTTTTCTGGAGTTCGTACCGGTCCCCCACGCGAACCGTGAATTAAAAAAAAGGCTCAGGGATACGAATCCTGGTATATCTCTTGAATTTGGCATGCTGAACTTGACCATGGCAAGAACAAAGTGTTCTCAAATTCCTGAAATGCGTTACATGTGGCGCATGTTGCTGCGAAGGTAGCAGGCCTGAAAACACCAACAAAAACAGCGAAGCGCTTGTCAAGGAAAGAAGGTGCGGAACTGCTTACCCTATCTCGCTGGTGGTCGTTACGGTGTACTTCAAAAATGCTAGTTTGCCGTCATCGCCCGCCACCTGGAGGCATCGATTGCTTGAAAACGAAGTTTCATGACCTAAATTTGAACTCGCTTCTTGTTCACCGTTTTGTTGAGTACTGAAGGGTCTGCCTTAAATTCTGGTGAAGACGTCGACCCCAGCCGCAAGTGCAGCAAAGCGGGAGGCCACAAACTTCTAGCTGACTTCTTCACTTCGAGTGGAGAAAATAAATTTGAAAAATCGCTCAAGAAAGCGACAATTGTAATGATGCGGAGAAAGTTAAAACGAAGCATATTGAGTTGCTCTTGTTCATTCAAGCCCTCTCGTTGTGTCTGTGTGTGTGTGTGTGTGTGTGTGTGTGTGTGTGTGTGTGTGTGTGTGTGCGTGCGTGTGTGTGTGTGTGTGTATCTGTGTGTGTGTGTGTGTGTGTGTGTGTGTGTGTGTGTGTGTGTGTGTGTGTGTGTGTGTGTGTGTGTGTGTGTGTGTACATCGTAGGGCCCTCATTACCTGGCGTATCATACCTGGCCTGCTACATTACCATACCAGTAAAGTAAGCTGGTCAAATATTCAAATAGGGCTTTCAACGCAAGGTTCATAACGTGAACCAACGTGGTAGGATATGTATGCGTGCAAAGTGTATGGAAGGAATGCATGCAGGGAGATAGTTCGTGTTTCAGTACCACGTTATGTGTGCCAACAATTGGAAAAAAGGAAGAAGAAAAAAAACGATAAGCTAGCACCATTGTATAATACAACTACTCCGTAAAATGTACCTGACCTGTCAGTGTGTGTTCAGAATCAAACCCCGTGTTATGTGTGGAAAAAAATAAATAATATTAAAATACAACCACCTACTCGATTCAGAATCTGGGGAATCCAGAAAATTAATGATTGGTTTACAAATAAGTGGTCTGGAAATACCAGTCCCCTCGCTATGCTTTGCTTTCACCTAGGTCATGATACGTGTCACTTCAATTTCTTACGTATACAATAAATGAGGAGGCCGAGGGTTTATGACCGATAAAAACTTTTTTTTTTATAATTAGTTTTTATTGGTCATAAACCCAAGGCCGGATTATTTATTGTATTTAGAATCAACCAGTAAAAACTCCTACTCAATCTCCAACAACAAAATTAGTGGACAGCTGTTATTTGTGTTGCTATGACAACTCGTGTGCTGGACGAGTATTTGTTGTCATTGGTTCAATTTCTTTTACTCTTCATAGGCTATCAGATCATTTTCCTTATTCGGTCTATTTATAACCAGTATCTATAATGAGAGTGTGGTCTGTCTCCATGGTTACCGGTGTTCATTTCATAACTATAGCCACTGCTTCTTGTTAGACCTTATGTGGAAGGCCCATTCTTGCATATTCCAACAGCAGCCAAGGGAGCTAGCTTTCTTGGTTATGCGGACTGGGTACCAGGTCCGATCTTAAAAAGCTGTTTTTATGAACTGTTTTTATGAACTGTTTTATGAACTGTTTTTATTGGATAGGATGATTATGTTGAATAAACGAGGTTTGTGTCAATGGGAGATTGACTTGGAGTTTTTACGAGTTGATTCTAAACTTCTATAAATCTGAAAGAAACGTCTTTTCAATAATGTTGTGATTATCGCATATAATATTTTTGAAACTCGGATGTTGAGCCGATAATAAATCTAGAAATGAAAAGTACACATGGATACGAGTTCAGAGTAACTGTACACCAGTAAGTAGTCACTATAGTAACTGGATACTATAGTATCTAGTTACTATAGTATCTAGTTACTATGGTAACTTTATACTATGGTGACTAGATACCATAGTAACTAGATACCATAGTAAGTAGATACTATAGTTACTATAGTAACTAGATACTATAGATACTAGATACCATAGTAACTAGATACTATAGTAACTAGTTACCATAGTAACTAGATACCATAGTAACTAGATACCATAGTAACTAGTTACTGTAGTAACTAGATACTATAGTAACTAGTTACCATAGTAACTAGATACCATAGTAACTAGATACCATAGTAACTAGTTACTGTAGTAACTAGATACTATAGTAACTAGGTACTGTAAAACCGGAAAGTCTAACGAATAAAAATTTAACGTTTTTGTAATTTTGGCATGATAACGTGCAGAAAGTTTAACGATGGCTACCTGGCCACCCATCTGTATGCGCATCTTTACACAGACATCTAGCGACAGACATCTAGCGATAACGTATTTTTCAAATAACGAAAAAGAATTGGCCGTTAAAACGTGAGACTTTGTGACTCGTTAGACTTTCCTGTTTGACAGTCAGAATCACCCCATTTTGTACATAATAAAAGTGAAAAATACAAAATAAGTTACGGCATGAACAATGACGGTCGGTTTTTGCTGTACAAATACCTAAAACGGTAAAGGGTTTAACAAACCAGTAACAGTCGACATTCTTTGTTGCCGTGAGACTGTGGCTTGTGCTCGTTTTCGTTGCGGTTGCCTTCCCCTCTTTGGTATCTTCTTAAATTAACCTTGGACCTTCAGAGTTGGAAGGCTGTTGGCTAGCGCTACGGAGATGTGTTGAAGCTAGGTGTCAGGTCGTCGAATGTCTCAGTACTCTGCCAGTTTTCTGCCTAGTTGTTCCACTTTCTGACAGCGTATATAGTATCTAGTTACAGCCCTAGTTAAAAACAAAACATAGCGAGGCCTCTGGACTGTCATTAGTGCCAGTACTGTATCCATACCTGCTCACTCATTTATAAAACTGAGAACATAAATTTTGCTGGCCCATTGCAACATGAACATGAAACATGTAGTGATGAAAGCAGGGATTTTCCCACTGTCCGTAGGATTTCTAATAATCAGACAGAATAACGTGTAAAAGTGTTTGTAAGATCCGATCAGCAGAAATCACCGTTTAATGTGTAAAAAGTGTCTGAAGGTGCTGGTAGTCGACAATGTGTGGTTTTGTCTGTACATGGCAGTATATGACAGTGTTGCTGTGTTTGTGTGTTGCTGTGTTTGTGTGTTGCTGTGTTTGTGTGTTGCTGTGTTTGTGTGTTGCTGTGTTTGTGTGTTGCTGTGTTTGTGTGTTGCTGTGTTTGTGTGTTGCTGTGTTTGTGTGTTGCTGTGTTTCAGGTATCCGTGTGGTGACACCACTGGTGAAGGGTACTGTCACAAATGGGGCTAGGGTCCAGCAAGGATGAGAGCTCCGGCCTCCAGTCACAACCAGCTGACCAGAGTGATCCAGCTCTAGGGTCCAGCGTTGATGAGAGCCCCGACCGCCAGTCACAACCAGCTGACCAGAGTGATCCAGCTCTAGGGTCCAGCGTTGATGAGAGCTCCGACCGCCAGTCACAACCTGCTGACCAGAGGGAGCCAGCTCTCCGGTCTAGCAAGGATGAGAGCATCGACCACCAGTCACAACCAGCTGACCAGAGGGATCCAGCTCTAGGGTCTAGCAAGAATGAGAGCTCCGACCACCAGTCACAACCAGCTGACCAGAGTGATCCAGCTCTAGGGTCCAGCGTTGACGAGAGCTCCGACCGCCAGTCACAACCAGCTGACAAGAGAGAGCGAGCTCTCAGGTCTAGCAAGGATGAGAGCATCGACCACCAGTCACAACCAGCTGACCAGATGGATCCAGCTCTGGGGTCCAGCAAGGATGAGAGCTCCGACCGCCAGTCACAACCAGCTGATCAGAGAGAGCCAGCTCTCTCTGATGGTGCTGGTAAGTGAATTGATTGCTTTAGTTTATGGAGGGACAAAAGTGTGGGACTTGATTTCAAGGGTCATTTCAAGGGTCATTGCATGGTCCACTGCTTGTAATGGCTTTCGTTTGGAGCAAGACGGGCATATTCATTCGTACGGCTCCATGTGAGATGCAGTGGAACTCGGATAAGAGGTACTGCCTCGGGAGTGGAACAACGAACTTAGTACCGAGGTTTTGCAGAGCAAAAGCTCGCATGGATTTTCGCGCCTGGGCTTGCGAATATTTGTGCGAATGTTCGCGCGAAGTTTGTGTTTTTCATGATTTTCGCTCCAAGAAAAGTACGAGTGCACTCGTGCATGTTTGAGAAGTTGCCTTCGGTAGATCTACAGAGCTTCATCCGACTGAGAATTTATTTGCTGCGAGTGGCTGCACCCTGAGACAAGAGCTTTTTGCATATGTTGTCGATAACCGGAGACCCACAGATAACCATGTTGGCCTGTGCCGCAATCCGGCGCTGCGAACACGCAAACACTCACACAAAGTTTCACTTTTCATGATTTTCGAGCAAACAGTTGTGCAAAACGTCACTAGTATCTGAAGTTTTTCTAATCCAAAGTTGACTCTTCCTAGACCCTGCAAAATGTATGTGGTAAGTGATACCAAACCAGGCTTCCTTCACTGCAAACAGCCTCCTTAGCACTGTCAACATGCTAAAATACCTGTCGTGCAAACCTGTCAAGTGGAACGGTGTTTGAAAAACAACAAAAAAGTACTTAGTACACTCTGTCTGCACCTGCTGAAAAGTCCTTCATAATACTAGTTGTAAATCCTATCATGGTACGTCGTTTCCCAAACACATTTGTATATGAGCTTGCACCTCTTACCCGGGTATGGTCTAAGTGAGTTCCACTGTAATTCTAGAAATGTAATGCAAGAGCCATGAGGCCACAACGTTTGTATGCAACTTTGGCAAGCCATGCATGCAACGTTATACAGCGCGTTGGCAAACGTGGCTTTCTCCGACCTCGTCACTGACGTGAAAACACAGCAAATGCATCCGCAGTATGTAGGAGTGTAGCATTGCAGGAGAGTGAGGGAGAAACCCTGGACATGATAACTTGTATTTCTACCATAGTTGACTGACAGAGAGTCTAATACCGTATTTCCCCGTAAGTTTGTACGTACTAACTTTCGAACTTAGCAACCACATGAGTACAAACTTTCGGGGGTGGTATTAGCCGAGTGGTAGGCGCGGTGCAATTAACACGAGTTATCTTTTATTATTATTCTCTTAGGTACACACCTAGGATATATTAGAAGTTAAAGAAGAAGCGGCAAATAAATGACTTTCTCCCCGGTGCACACCTAGAGGTTGACTACTTCTTCTTCTTGGTTTAGCTTTGTCGTTGCTATAATATCAAAACAGAAATGCGCAGCAGCTTTTATGCAGCAGACGCCGTACGCTTACATACGGAGACACACCAAACATACATCAGGCAAAGCTCCGTATTAGTTCCGTACTACTTCCGTATTAGCCAGGCAGGGATACTTCACTATCTTTCGGGGAGTACTTTTTTATCGGGGGTAAATGACACGCAGTGGGAAGCCTGCGCAACTCTAGTGTCCGTGCATATGATCAAGAGTACACATGTACTCTTGATATGATGTATGTACTGTACGGTGTCTGTACATGTAGGACGGGTACGAACTTACTATCTTTCGGGGGGAACTGTCTTTCAGGGTGATAACCTCGGCAGTGGAAAGTGTATTTTTATAGGGGGGTACTAAGTCATTGGGGAGAACTTACTTCCGGGGAAATACGGTAGTCCAGCAGCCAGGCCCCTTAGATACTCACGCCCGTTCCCACTTCGAGCACACAACAAATGGACACCTAGTGCTCCCTATAAATCACATTGTTTCCTTTACATTCAGTATGCAAGGGCATAAAATACGGAAGAAATTGTTTCACATATGTAACCATAGCAACGGCATAGTCACAGCATAGTAACTGTAACATTGGAGACAATTTAGGATGTTTAAAAAAAATTATCTATACCACCGGGTTCGGACAAAATGCCTTTCAAACATACAGAAAGGTGCAGTGCAAATAGGAAAGAGGGAAGAAACCATTCTTCTGTACACATGTACATGTACGTGTACTATGCTACCTAATCATTGATTTGTATTACACAAAATGCATGGCATGCCGCCTAGGTTGATAATTAGGAGAACAAGAAAGGATTGGAGTGAAATCCTACATAATGAACATGACTGATATGATGTACAATGTCCGTCAAGATATCCAAAACCAAAGAGTAAGCACATGAAGCACACATGAACAGAGACTGAAAGAGCTGAAGAAAGACGTGAGGTCTAGACAAGGGCTCCACTGCATTGCAGTGGCGTCTTGGCCTTACGCGATCTTGATGGTCACAAAGAGACTCTTTCCAGGCGTCAAGCGACTTGCAAACTTATCGCTTCCTCATTCAGCAGCGAGGCAGGCAACCAGCCGCACCTTGTTCTTGCTCTAAGACAGATTTTTTGCACCATATGCCATTGTGGCGCACCGTGATACCAATCATGAATGGCAGCAAATTTATCATTAATCAGTTGCCTACTGGGTCGGTCCGTTGCCGAGAACGTCACCTTTGGGGACTGTGGAATGACCCGCGACACCGGAAACGTTAACATGATAATGCTCATCTTCAACAAAAACAAAACAAAAAACAGTGCTATGATAAACTACCTCCAGTCACCAGAAACAAATACAGTGCATTACGCATACTTGGTCCGCGTCAGCGATATTGTCGCTTATCTTTCAGCTTTGTTTATATGTCGCCAATGCTTACTTGGCAGCCCATTTCATCCCAATTTTGGTTAGCAAGTTAGTTTGCTAGTACCTGAAAGGTCTAGCTAGAGTTCGAGTGGATTTCGAGAGCGACAGGTGGGTGATTCTGATTGATACAGCGCCGCATCAAAATAGATTATCTTTTTTCCGCTGTGCAGGCAAGAGCAGCGCAAGCCACAAAAAAGTAATCGGCTACTCGGAATAAGCTCCATTTTGCTGAACGGCCGAGATCGCTCACCTCAGGGATCGATCATCAAGCTGAGATCGCAGCTCCCTTACCTCCAGCTCAACGCTCGGAGTATCCAGCGCGTCGTGGAGATTTGCAAGTACTGTACGCGTCGTCGTCGTTCAAAATATAATCTTGCAAAGAACGGCGTCTGATTTGAACCACACAGGCTGTCGTGCTGCCCACGCAAAATCCTATAGAGAAGGCGACCGTCACGATCGACTTCGCTTTAGAAAATAGCCAGGCAGCGGAGAGGAAGAGAGATGAGCTTGCAAAAGCAAGAGAGTCGATCCCGAGCAAAAATATTTGTCGCCAGCGCCGAGAGCAGCGACGAGGAGGACCGAAAAAGTAGGAACCCTTCCTTGAACAATATAGTCCTCGCAGCTAGTTGTCATTCTATACCTTACCGTCCATCGTACCAAGTTTTATCACTTCAAGTGCACGCGTTCATGTCCAAAGTCTAAGTTCAAATTGTCGAAAGGTAAGCGACAATATTGCTGACGCGGACCAAGTATGTACAGAGATTACACTAGTACATGACTGTATACCAATCATAGAGTAACAAAACAAGAAAGATGGAAGTTATCAGGTCTACACCATCAGAGTTGGCAGCTATATGTGCAGTCAACTTCGCTTATAACGACACTCGGCGGGGCATCAAAAAGGTGTCTTTATTCGCGAAGTTTTGTTTTACCCGAAGTCTCATTGCAGTAGGATGGGACTTTGCTCTGGGCATGGAAATTCTGTCGTTATTCGCGAATTGTCGTTATGTCCGCAGTCGTTATTAGCCAAGTTGACTGTATTGGATTCTCCTGGTGTGCAGAATGACGCTGGGAGTGTGGTTGATATCCACTGTTGGTTTGCTGTCGTCAGTGTCAATCGCAGTACCTTCACTATTTCATGTATAATACCTTTTATGGTCCGCACGACTTAGACTACAACACCATAGATATCCACACGAAATGGTAATAAATCAAAGAGGCCTTCTTCATTGCAGTTGGCGCAATATATTAACGGGATCGCGTCTTCAGCGTTTCCGACCTCCAAACTGTTATAATTATTATAGCTGGCCAGCCTACTGTTTATTGGCAGACAAGAATTCCGCTGCTTCTTCAAATAGGCAGTTTATTGAGGTCTGTCCATGACATATTCAGCATTGCTGTGCGTGGAAGGAAAGGTGCAACTTTAGACTGCTGCTGGCCATAGCCAGCAAACTGCAACCGTGATCTGGGCTTCAGCTGTCATAGGTACATTGACAGAGAGATAGCCGCATTCTGCACATACTGCAAACTACTGACTTCATGCCATTGCCTTATGGATCAGAAGTCACCACACTGAAATAAGAACAGCAGAGGAAAACAGAGCTGATGCAGACAGCAACAAATTTGCTCCTTCACTTCATTCGACGAATTTGATTGTCGTGCAATGCAAGAAAAAAGTCAGAGAGCAGGAGACCTATTTATTTGATGGGCAAGCACCAGTGCTTTGATGCCCATAATAATTTGATGCTCAGAATTTCACCACAATCATGCACGTATACTGACATATCTACACGATGCGACCTAGTACTTCACAAATGCAGAAAAAAAACTAGTACTTCAGTTGGTGAAATATTCCACCTCTGTCCCCTAAACTCAAATGCCCCTGTAACATTGATAAAGGATTGGTAGATACTCACTCAGAGTGGTGTTTGAAAATTACCGAAACCAGTCATGACGAATTAGAGCGTGTTCAATTGTCTCTTCTCATAAAATGACAATACTGCCTGTACGTGGTTTTTTCGGGTGTATTTGTGGGGCACATAGGTATCACTCTAATTCCTCACGCATCCAAAAGATAAGGCTTTGGCCCATCACCCCACAAAGCGGGTTTCGTGTTCGCGTTGAGTAAGCGCCTTATCTGGTGTGAAATTGGTGACCATAATCCTCGCTTTAGCAATTACAA